AATGTTCGAGTGTACACAATCACATCGTCTATAAAGTTATCCACACACTGCATTCCGTCTAAGAGCTTACGCATCAGGCGACTGAAACTTGCGGAAGCGTTTATCAAGCCAAAGGGCATCACCCTGAATTGAAACAAACCAAGTGGCGTTTGGAAAGCGGTGATCTCCTTCGCTGCATCATCCAAAGGTAACTGCCAGTATCCCTTAGATAGATCAAATTTGGACACATATTTACAGCCAGATAATTGTACATAAATATCATCAGCACTTGGAATGGTTTCTGCATCGAAAACAGTTACTTTATTAATTGCATGAAAATCGATACAAAACCTGTTCGAACCGTCCTTCTTTTTCACGATGACTATCGGGGAACTGTACGGACTCGTTGAAGGCTCGATCACATCGGCTTCCACCATCTTTCTTACCTCGTCACAAACAACGTCTTTTGAAGTAAACGGCAGAGGATAAGGTTTGGTGCGAATAGGCTGGTCACTAGTCAACTTGATATGATGAACTCCGAGATTCGTCAAACCAGGTACATCTGATAAAACATCTGAAAAATTCTCTAGTAATGTCTTGACTTCTGCTTTTTCATTCTCAGTTAGTTCATCACTTACTTTCACATCTGCCGGTCCCTCATTTTTCGTTTCTCCTAGAGAATCGCACAACAGCTCATCGTCGCTCTCTCCATCATCATCTAGATCGAGTACTGCGGCGCCTACAACACCTAGAACACCTGTCTCATCATTACTCTCGTTTGCTCTGTCAATGTACAACTTCAACATATTTGCATGAAATGTTTTGATTTTTCCATTCACGTTAATTCTGTAATCAATTTTTCCTAGTCTCTCTATAATTTCATATGGACCTTTCCATTGCATTTGTAATTTGTTACTGGCAGTTGGTAAAAGAATAAGAACTTTCTCACCTTTTGACATTTGTCTGTTCCGTGCTCCCTTGTTATAATACTTCCGGTATTTCTCTGACGACTTTTGTAGATTCTCTCTCGCTAATCTGCACGTAGCTTCTAGTCGTTCCTTCAAATCAACAACATACTGGTATGTAGTTCTAACCTCTGAATCTGCTACTTCTTTAGTCCACAACTCCCTCAAAATCTTCATAGGTCCTCTAACTTCGTGTCCATAAACCAGTTCAAACGGTGAGAATCCTAAACTCTCCTGTGGTGCATCACGGTAAGCAAACAATGAGGCTGATAGATACTTATCCCAATCAGTAGGACGTTCCGCACATAACCGTCGGAGTATCTGTTTCAATGTACCGTTGAACCGCTCGACCAGTCCATTGCACATGGGATGGTACGGCGTCGTTGTTAACTGTCGTATAGAAAGTAAACGACTGACCTCTGTCATCAGCTCGGATGTAAATTGTGACCCCATATCCGTGAGCATTTCCTTCGGTACTCCTACTCTACAAAATACATCTACCAGAGCCTCAGCGACTCGTTCAGTGTCAATTCCTTTTAAAGCAATTGCCTCTGGGTAACGGGTAGCAAAGTCAACAATAGTCAAAATGTAACGATTACCCTTACTGGTTGCTGGCTGGATAGGTCCTACCAAATCGACAGCTACACGTCTGAACGGTACCTCAATGATAGGCATATCTCCGAGTGGTACCTTTGTAGTCCTGCCTTTCGGAGTGGTACGTTGACAGATGTCGCATGATCTGCAGAATCGACGTACGTCCGCTTGAACTCCCGGCCAATAAAATTCTGCAAGGACTTTGCTGGCTGTCCTGGAAGTACCTAGGTGACCTGTCATAATAGATTCATGAGCAAGCGAAAGAACTTTAGTCCTATATTTCTTTGGAACAACTAGCTGTGTAAAACGTTTACCATTCTGATGTTTATCTGACTGGAAGACACGATAAATGATACCTTTTTTACTAATGTAAGATACCTTGGAGTCGTCGTCTTGTCCTACCAAAGAGCGTATCTTGGCTAACGTCTCGTCTTTCTCCTGTGCTGCCTTGATGTCGTCAGGACATATCTCAGCGTCAATAATATCTGGAACATGAAGAGATTTAGTCTTCTTACCTTCCTTTTGAGCTTGTTGCCTTGTCACTACTGCATGCGCTTGATAAGGTGTCCAGTTTCTATCCGGATCCTTTGGCTCTCTTGCGTTGGGGATGTTCCCGATGATCAAGGAATACAATGGATTTACTAAACACCAAGCGTCTATTTCACCCACAAAGTAAGGAGTGTCCATTTTCACTCGCGCAACAGGTGCCTGAATCCTAGATCCATCCGCCAGAACACAAATTCGATGATTTCCCGTAAGCTGAACATCATCTATCAAATCCCTACGAACTACAACACCGTTACAACCAGTGTCTCTAAGCACTGTCACAAAATGTTCATTTAACTTGCCCTTACAGGTAGGCATATCTTCAAGAGATGCACTAACGTTACACGATGAAGTGTTTACAAGGTCCATTGAATTTGACGCCATCGAAAATGTTGATGTGTTTGTAAAGGAAGTAAAAGTTCCACACTTGCCTTGTAATTCTGAGTTCTTTGCCGTAGATTCCTTTTCTGTACGATCGACGACAACATTCACTGAGTTCCGGTTCTTCTGAGTCTGGTGGCACTGAGACGCTATGTGGCCCAGTCTGTCACACTTGAAGCAACGAACTTCTTTCTTCATTGGAGTTTTCATGGGTTGAAACTTCAATCCTGGCTTCTGATCTCGCTGTTCCTGTTCTCTCGATGCCTGACTTTTTCCTGGAGAGTTCTCTTTCTTGCTAAAATGAACTAATGTCTGAATGTTAACATGCCTTGCCTCTCTAAACTGATCTGCTAAATCACACATTTCTCTGATGTTTTTCGGTATGCGTTCTTTCAAAAACAATGTCAATTCTTTGTTACACATGAACAGAAACTGATCTCTGAGTATCAAATCGTAGAGGCCATCAAAAGTCTTGTTAACTCGACCAAGTTCAATCCACCTATCGAGATAACTACCGAGACGAACAACAAACTGTGAAAAAGTTTCCCCTACCTCAGGTCTGCTCTTACGGAACTTTTGACGAAATCCATCCTCCGTCTTTTCAAACCTTTTTAGTAACGCCGTCTTCAAAGCATCATAGTCCAACGCTTTCTCCTGCGGCAACAGTGCATATACATCCAGTGCACGACCTCTGAGTAGTGCGCTCAAGTTAACAGCCCAACTGTCAAACTTCCATTTCTGTGCTGCAGCGTACCTTTCAAAACGTCTCAAATAAGAATCAATATCATCCTTAACTTCATCGAATACAGGCATTTTTGGAAACTTTGCATTACTAGGATTTTCTGATTTCGTTTCTGACTCCTTTACAGCTAACTTTTGCTCTAAGGTTTGAATAGTTTGTATGAATTTACTCTCAATCTCTTCCATACCTTTCTTTTCCTGTAGTTTGAGTTTCTCAATTTCAAGTGCTTCTCTACTGAGATGATACTCCCTGTCCTGCTTCTCTTTCTCCCTTTCCGCCGCTCGTAGCTCACGCTGATGTGCCTGTTGTTGCTGTATAAACTGCTGCAAGTCCGCACCAGTCAAGTTCAGACTCTGTCCATATTCTGCAAGTTCTTTCAATGTCGACATTGTAATAGAACTTAACACTAACTGACTAAATATGAAAAATATTACTACAATCCAGTAGAACAACATTGATTTTCAAAACAAAAATGAAATGTGGAAAATCTTTCTCAAAAATGTGTATACTTGTATCTCAACAGATAAATTAAGTATACAAACTCAATTCATACGAAACAAAGCAACGGTAACCTAGCTTTCTCCATTTGGGGCTCCATCAATAAACCAAGTACTCACACCCTGAGACTGTCAAAAATCTACAAACTCTTTGACTGCAAAATACAACAAAAATGATTAAAGAAAAAAAAACATAAGTGTAATATACAAAAATACTCCTGACTGAACAGACTAATCATCCCACTTCTGACACCAATTTGTCACGACAGCCGTCGTGCTCTGTCCAGTCAGATATAACAAGATTTTTTTTTCTATTTACAATTTTTTTTTATCTATAAATAAAATCAATAAAAACAATATTTACAACATATTTTTACAGCTATTATTTACAATACACAGAAATTAAAGTCTTTATTAATCCTCAATATCGTTGACTCTAAACCACGTCTATCCAGACACGACCCGTTTCACGACGGACTCCCGCCAACTGGCTCCCAGTGGGTATCCCGGTCTGGTAAGTTCATTGCCAACACACACATGGATAGATTAACATTGGATAACATCAGGAACCTTTGAATTAAATAACATTTTTAAGTCACAAGCTACGTATACAAAAGAAAAACTCAAGTCACCATTGACTACAATTGCACTAATGGCACACCATACAATCAGTCCCGGTAATTTTAACCGAACACTATTATAATAAGAAAAACGTTAAGAATACACAACATCTTAACAAAAGTGGTTTTAACTATTAAACCCACAACACCGACTTTATAAGCGGCAAAACAAAATAGCCTACGTGCGTATATAACTCAGTACATTGCACAAAAATAGAACAATAAACGCATGAGTAACTCTACCCAGCAAAACCTGTATACGTAAATAGTAACAAAAACATTAATTAACTCAAGTTCTTAAATAGTTCTACGTTTTAAATGTATTACTCAAAAACTTACATATGAAATAAAAAAACAAACTTACCCCTTTGGAGAAATGGTTACCGTTGAAAGAAAAAATTTAGCCACTCATCTTGGACTGTATGTCAACCATTTAAAAGCTATGAAAACGTGGACCCTGGTTACCTGGTCAGCTATGCAGCGATTTAAATACCCCAAAATACAATAGGTCGTAACTGACCAATACCTGCAAAACTTAACTGAGGTTCAATAAGGTAACAAAAGTATAGAGGTCCAGTAAAGGGTAAATAAAATAAAAACCATAAACATAATGTAAATGCAATTAAAATTAAATATTGATTGTGACAGATTATATATAAAAAAAAAAATACCCCTGGTATCTTGCAGAAATGCCTGGTAAGGTACCTAATTTTTTTTTTGTTAGTAAACATATTCAAGTAGCAATGCTAAAATGACAAACTCGTGGAAAATTATATCTATTATTAAGGAACGTCTTGCCTGTCCTTAAATGTTAAATGCAACCACATAAAGTAAAGGCATAGACTTATGTTTAATTTATTGGGATTGAAGATAATAAAGAGAATGTTAAAAATGTAAGTATAGACAATGAGTCTTTCTTTTTTTTTAAATGTTGGGTATGTGTGCTTTAACAAATTACTATCGCACGTATCTCAATTCGTTCATATACACCATTGCGGCTATAGGACTATATCTTTCATAAAAATTAATGTTTAATGGATTTTAAATGTTGCTTATTTTGATATTTGTATAGAATGGTCATTTCAGGGTACAAAATTAAAAAGAGTAAGATCGAAAATACTAGTAATTCAGTTATTAGTGTTTTGCTTTACTCGGTGGTTTACAATATGGAACTCTGTAAAGTATTTAATAAATACAAACACATTCTGTTTGGACTGCATTCATAGGTAACCTTCTCCAGCACCTGTAAGTCAACGAAGTGCGTTAATCAAAAGAAATGTATATGCATATACAGTGTGCATATATAAAATGTGGTCTGAAACACGAATATTTTTTTTATTATTTTCACCATGTTAATTTAAAGTGTGTTTTGCACAAATCATTCACGATTAAATTAAGTAAATCATTTTTTTTAAATTGAAATACAGCAGATAAGCTCAAACGATAAAATATTGATGTATCCAAAGTTTTTTTTTTCATACCAATGAACATAAAAGACAAGGTAAAAGATTTTCAGTTGCAATATCTTGTGAGAAAGATAGACGTATACGCATATTAAGGATGCGTTGATACATATATTAAATTGATATACCACAATTACCTGTCTCACAGCTCTTTCTTTTTATGTATTTATATATACACAGTGTGTTTTCGTTCCATGATCCAACCCAGAGGAGATTAGTTTTGTTGTCATAACATAAGCTGTGTGGTCTATATATCCCTTGCTCTTTTGTCAGTATCTGTGTCAAAAAATATCCATCCTTGTCAATGATCTGTACTGTGTGGGTGTTACCATCACACACCAGTAAATGTGACAGGGCGTCAGTACAGATTCCATTTGGTGATAGGCGTGATCCTGATGGATGTCGTGTGTAGGAGAATCCATGTTTTCCTTTACGATCTGTCACCACTACACCACGCAAACTGTCAGACACAATAACATCTTCGTTACAGTTCTCTGTGGGGTAACTAGGATAACTATACAGTCCCTGTCCTGTGTTGTTTTGTTGTATTGTCTGAATGTGTTGGTTTGTGATCCTGTAACGGTTTACCTTGCCTGCCTTTTCATGATTTAACAGTCCGACCAGTAGATCTCCTTTGATGGCGGAATAATAAACACACCTTGCTCCCCATTCCCCGAAATCTGTTCCTTTTATTAATAGGGACCTTGTTTTGTTATCTGTTGAAAATTTGAAAATGTTCTTTTCAGTGTCTACATAAATTAATTCACCTTGATTGTTCACTGTGTGTGCTCCATTTATAATATTCCGTCTTGAATAAGGTAACCTTTTTGTCAGTTGATGCAGAGTGTCTCCTTCTGTATTTTTCAAGATAACATTCGAAGTATTATTGTGCCACTGACTGACCCAGAACAGGTCCGAAGTCAGACAAGAAATATGCCTCGCATAACCAGGGATTTTCAGTTCAACAGTTCTGACTAACACAGGTGTAGAAATCTGTTTCAACAGATCTTCATCTCTTACTTGCTTCTGTGCTACTTGGATCTCACTAAGAAACTCAACAACATCATCCGTTATGATTTCCTCAGTCAGATAGAGTAAGGCGTGTTGTGTAAGATTAAGAGTGTCTTTTATTTTGGGAACAAGTGCTTTTTTAAGAAAAACGAGGAATTTCACCGCTGTCTTGATGGACTTTTCATATCTGTGTTCATATATTTCTATGCTGGCAATGTGTCTGTTTATTTTTATTTTCTGTTGTTGCAATCTATGAATCATGAAATGTCTGTAACTATCTTTAACAGCACACATCCCAGTGACAATGAGGTTGTTTTGTCTCTGTGTTTTGTTGACATCTTTAGTTTAAGGTTAAAGATTTTGGATTGTTCAATTTTGATGACTGCAAGTTGAAAACGGTTATTATAGAAAGTCTCACCTCTGATTCTGTGAAGAATTTTTCTATGTTGTTCACGCTTTGTTTTATATGCTGTTCTAATGTCAATTGTCTGGTGTTGTTCATGTTTTTCACACTGAGCACAGAGAGGCAGTTCACATGTGTAACAGTATTTTTCATAGCTACTGTCTGTGTGTCTCAAACAAGGCTCGAGTTTAGGAATGTCATATTTCTCTTGGTAAATCACAACATCATGGTATTTTGTATCTAAGTCAATAACATGTCTCTCTTTACACTGTTGACACAATCCATGTTTACACGTGTTACAGTAGAATTCTGTGTCCCCCTGACACTGAAAACACTGTCGAACTTTACACTGTCGTACTATACACTGGTTTTTGAAATCTTGTGTGCTCATCATTTGGAAGGTGAAATATGTGAAAAGAATGAAAAAAGAGGTCGGAAAATAGCGTTTCAAAGCTAATAGTTTTTATTGATGTACCCAAAGATAAATAAATATTATATTATTTTTTTTAGAGATTTATCTCACAGATCCTTTCAATGACACAAAGCAAGAATATGGTAGATACAGGGACCCCTGGACCAGGTAGCTTTTCTTGTCTAGCAGTCCAACCAGCCTCCGTCTGAATAGAGTTATCTGTAATCAAAAATACTTGTATATAGAACAAAGTGCCATTTAAGAAATTAGAACATAGTCTTCATTTTCATCCTAATAACTTAATATTTTCATATTTTTAAAAACAATTTTCTTGCTGACAAGGTTTGTAATGAGTTAAGAGTACTTGCTGCAATAATTCATGAGTTATGTAAATCATTAGCAGATTCTAAAAACTTTTAAAAACTTGAAGAGAACTGTCAAAATATCATTACAATCTGATAACAATTTCTCCTGTAATATTATGAAGAAAACGATTTTGAAACCAAGGGAGGGTCACGATGCACCATACAACTTTTTTATCATTAAGTTTTTAATGAGGTAAAGAAACTGAGTTTTTATCAAATCTATTTAAAATCAGACTTCTTTGATCTGCAGCCTATTCACTCTACCTGAGAAGAGTGCATATAGCGTTGATCTAAGTAGTCTGATTTTAATTAGATTGAATTTTATCCAAAACATTTGTGTGGGGGGATAATTTGTGGCCTATTCGTCCATCCGTTTGTCTGTTTGTCTGTCTGTCCGCAGAAACTTAAACCGTGCACATTGCTTTTGACCTTCGAGTATGATCTAATATTAAAAAAATACAATATTTTAATCTTGACTAAAGCAGTTGAAGTTAGCAATTTCATACTTCACATGTTTATACATTGTGAAAAGACTTTTTAGTGGGTATAAATATCTTTGACCCACTTTTTAAAATCCCAAACCTTTGCCACAACCTTACAAGAGTTAGAAATATGGCTTTCATTTTCAGAGATCTACTTCTTGTTGCGAGGTCTTCCCTTCGGTACCAACAATTTTAATCTTGACTTTTGAAGTTTGATATAAATTTGAGAGAATTTAATCCTCAACATTAACTGTCATAAGGGGAAATCAGTGTTTCACAAATACATCGTGTTATTCTTCAAGGACATCAATTAATTATATTTTGATCTTAAAATGATACCCGGGCGCAGATCACAGAGGAAGGAGTCAGCAGACGGTGTGTAGGGTATCTTGATATGAAATGCCATTAGAGTATGAATCACCCACTTAACCCAGCTCCAATCACAACCATACGAAATAGTTTTTGTACGTTTAGACGAGTATTTTTTGGCTTGTCAACAAATTTCTAGGCTGGATTTTTATTGAATGACCCCCGAAAAATCCGGGATCCTTCTCTGCTCCTTCCAGTCCCTTACATCTGTTTTAACTAGAAACATGTCCAAAACACATTAAAATCCTGCCGAGGGAATGTAATGCAACATGAGAATTGTCATGAGTATATATAATCTAATTTGCATTAGTGCATTTAATCAGATTTTTTTGAATAGTGATACAGTTAAATCGCTTATGTCAGAGTATATCAACATATGAAGTTTGACGCGAATTTCAGAAAAATGAGGTTAAGGTCAAAGGAAAAGTCAAGGTCAAAACTTGTTGATGCAGTTGAAAAGATCTCGTCTTATTATGACTGGGGTTTTTAAAACTGACTTAAACACCATTTGCTGAAACAAGATATCAAGGTCGAATCAAAGGTCAACGTCAAAACTGTTGATGCAGTTTAATTTGTCTTTTGATAACACCATCTGAATGGTATGTTGAAAACTGAGCTAAACATTAATTTTAGAAAGGTCAAGGTAAAAGAAAAGTTGAAGGTCAAGTTGAAGGTAAAATTTTTTTGAAGCAGATGCATTGCTCTCATTAATATCTTTCAGCATATGAAGGTTGATGAAAATATCTTGGATTATTTCTTCAAAATATAGTTACACTTATTTAAGAAAAGTGTGGTAAAGGTACAAAGAAAGGTCAAGGACAACAATAGATAATACAATTGAATAGCTCTCATCAGAATGTATTAATATGTGAAGCTTCAAAACAGTGAGCTCAAGGTCACAAGAAAGGTCAACGTCAAAAACTGTTGACACAGTTGCATACATGTAGCTCTTATCAGTGTCTATCAGCATATCTAAGTTTGGTGAAAATGTCTTGGGCAGTTTCTTTGTAAATGAGCTTTGAACAGAGCTAAAGGCAAAGTGTGACGGAAGGGCGGAAGAGCGGATATTGAACATGACAAACACTACATTCTACAGGCCATAATCATTGCTGGGCATAAAAATATTTGACTTGAATCGCTTTTCCCGCCTTCACAATGTATCACCTGTATAGTTAGTAATTGCATATTTGCTACCTTTACTGAGTATCTCATGTTGTAAATATTTCATGTTGTAAACATTATATACAGACCTGACAATATCGAACAATGGAATTCCGCCAACACTACAAAATACAACAGGAAACTCATATCGCCACGAAATAAAAGATTCTAAATATGTAAACTTGCTTGCCTGTCTGATCCTCGATTAACAGACAGGAGACCAGTAATGTAAAGGGCCACGCTCATTGGTTGATAAAAAAATCACGCTGACTTAGAAATTTAATTGTCATGGGGAAGCCAAAACAGATCACAAAGTGCAGGGACATCAACCGTTATAACATTACCTGTCATATTTTTTTTTAATAGTTTTTAGGCCTATATTTTTTTTGGTTTTTATTACCTTAAACCAGGAATTCTCTTCATCTGTAATTGATGCAATCAATCTATATCAACATAACGCAAATGCCCTATATATTCATTAACACCTTTCGCTTCGCCTGAAGGTATTTTAATACGAAGCGAAGCTCTTATTACATTACATACCCTACAGTACTTGCATTAAAGAAAACCTCTATATCTAATTATTGAAAAATGACACATTTTAAACATTCATGGGTATAGGATGACTTACTGACTCAACACATTGTCGTATTGTAATATTTTATTGTGGTTATTAGCAGCGGCGATAGACAGCGCTTCCATCAAGCCATGAAAGTTTAATTCACTTGCATGTACATTATTCGCTATGGTTAAAACAAGATGTGTTTGTGAAACACTGATGCCCCCGTATGGCAACATGGCAAAGATTAAACTTTTTCTGAAATGCAAATTTAATTAATTAGTACCAAAAGCACGGTATTCTCACTGGAAAACAATTGTGAAAAAAAACAATGTTAAGGATATCCGATCTTCAGCCAGGAAGGATAACTCCAATAATCAAAATTTTATTTGAAATGCATCAAAATGATGCTTGAAAATAAAAATTTTTCATGCAACAATTTTCATTTTATTCATCTTTAAAACATTCAAGGTTTTTGGAAGTCTTAGAAAAGGTCTGATAAAAGTTGATATTTGTACCGTATAAAAGGGAAAAAAAAATTAATACAGTTTTAGAGAAATAAGTTTTTTTTTAATCCAGTGTAGATACCAAAGTTTTTTAGCATTATATCAAATAAGAAGTGACTTGTGGTGTCTTACAATCATAGCAAAAGCCTTTTATACTATGTACTATAGAATATATTACGGACATAGAAGACAAAAATGCCAAATAAGTATGAAAATCATGACAATTTTTCTGAATGCCTGGATACCTATCATTTTTAAACCTAAAATATATATGTTGATCAATTTGCAATTAGATTGCAAATGCATTGCAGATATTCCAATTTGCCTTTTCTGCAAAAATATTGGAGATTTGGCAATTTTCCCTACATAATATGATTAACTTTAATCTTTAACTTTAAAGAAATACTGTGGACAAATTTACATAATTTTGTGGATTCAGAGATACTTTTATGAGTATTTTTGGTTACTTAATTGCTTATAATAAAAAACCTGAGGATCGGACTACCTTAAATAAGTACAAAAATCTCCAAGGTCAAAGTCAAAATGTCAATTTTATTGGTATCAAAAGAAAGGTTTTGCCACATAGAATACTTGTGTAAAGTATGGAAGCCCTGCCCTAACCGTTGATCAATAGTTATGACCAAGGTTATTTTTTTCTAAAAGTAGGTCCAAGGTCATGGTCAGTGGGACAAAGTTCTTGTTATCAAATTTAGGCTTGTCACAAGAATTAAATATGTTAGGTACGCATGCACTCGGCCATATGAGTTAAAAGTTATGGTCAATGTTTGCTTTTTTAAAGTAGGTCAGTTTCAAAGGTCATGGTTAAAGTTCATGGCATACAGTGAAGGGTTTTCTTACAAGGATTACACATATGAAGTATAAAAGCCCTATCCTTTATCGTTCAAAAGTTATGGCCAAGGTTAAAGTTTTTTCACAAGTACGGAGTTCAACAAGGTCAAGGTCAAAGGGTCAAGGTTGTTGATACTTATAACCAATCAAAGGTCTTTCAGCAAAGATTATAGATGTGAAGTATAAATGTCCTGGTATCAACTGTTCAAAAGATATGGCAAAGTAAAAGTTTAGAATTATCATGTAAAAGTAGGTCAAACTCCAAGGTCAAGATTAAAAAGGTCAATTTTGGTGGTACATGTACCCAAAGAAAGGTCTTGTCAAAAGAAATAAATATGTGAGATATGAAAGTCATACCTCCACTTAATCAAAAGTTATGGGCAAGGTTAGAGTTTTTGCGGACAAACAGACAAACAGAGAGACAGACAGACAGACAGACGGACACCACAAAAACTATATACCCCCAAAACTTTGATTACGGGGGTATAAAAACTCCAAGACTTCTTATCTAATTATTTTACATTTTGATCGCTAAAAAATGAATTTATATACTATTAACCAACAATCACTCGTGTTATCTTTTATTCGAAATTCGTCAGTTTGGAATCAATACGTAACACTAATTGTTTGCATTCTCTATGAGTATTTTTTTTTTTAATTTTAATTCGCGGCGTTTATATTCGCGAATAAAAGAAGGTTAGGGAAATCGCAAATATTTTTCTCATGCGAATAAATATTGCTTTACAGTGTACACAACCATATTGTTGATGATATTTTAATACTGTAAAAGCACAAATATTCGTGGGGGATTAAATTTCGTTTATTTCGTTGTTAACAATTATCAACGAAACTTAATCCCACACGAAATTTTATGACTACACTTATAATAGGGTTACTTACAAAACAACGAAATTAATTGCCAACGAAACTATTTTTGATGACAAATCAACAAAATTTTATCCCAACGAAAATTTGTGATTCTACAGTATTTTTATTTCTTCCTTAATTTGATTTCCTTATTTTGGACAATCATAAAATAAAATGATATTCGTCATCTGTTTTATCTAAAGCATAATATTTATCACTTCTGTAAGTATTCATGTATCTACCCCTTTAAATATATAGATGTGTCATATGAGTGATATTAATAGCAAGTACTAGTAAACTTGTGATAATGTCCGTTATCAGACAATTCAATCTTGAACATGTAGCCTGTTATTAGGCGTTCTTTTTAAATCGAACCCTTAAAGGTATCATACCTTCGAAACTACATGGCAAACTTCACGGAATATAAGCACCTGTTGCAAAATGTCAAACAAAGAAAGGTATGTAACCGCGTGATAACATTAATCTCCGATCATTTTTTTCTTTATTCATACAAAGGTGTTTTATGTGAATTCCAATCTAAATTATTACTGTAACTTGTAAGGACATCGATAACATAATGAAGTGCCTCAGATTTACGTTGTTTAATTCCCCGATCATGTCAAGGAGCAATCATCAGGTGCGACCGATCGCAAGGGAATACTTATTTACTTCACGATACTATAAGAAACAATTTTGTGTCTCTACTGGGGATTGAACCCGGGACCTATGACTTTCCAGTCAAGTACTCTATCGATTGAGCTAAAGGATTATACCACTAGCCCAAGCTAGGATTATTTCACTAGCAAAAGCTATGATTATTCCACAAGCCCAAGCTAGTAGGATGCCATGCATCTTTCACTACTAAAGTACCACCTGATCCAAGTTTTGATAATCTAGAAGTTCATCAGCCATGTTCATGCTTTGCTTGTATAATTTTTACTGTTTGCATAAACTTGTGGGGTTTTTTACTGTTTGTATTCTCAATACAGTGTATTTTAATTATTTAGATATTGTTTTTGTTTGTTTTACTTTACTCCTAATTTTAGGTGCCAATTTTTGATTAATTAATCTGTATATCCACAAGATGACTTCAGCTTTTCCATAGTCAACTTTCCTTATTTTATATACTGACACGCAAAAGAAAGGCAACATCCTACTTTAGGGAAAAATAATTTTTTATCTAAAAACTGTGGATATCTTTAATTTGGCGAACAAGGTAATGTAACGGTTGAACGATTTTCATACCATAATCGGTAGACAAGTTTGAGTCTGCTTAACAGAAATCAAAAATTGCATGTTAACAAAACATTTGGCTATATCATGGTGTTTTAAAGATTTTAACTATTCATCATTAATAATGCAGCAATATTAAAAAAAGATCGCCTTTGTTTCCCGTATCGATGCTAAGGCTTCTTGAAAATAAGCTTAAGTATACATTTCCATTGCTCTAGTTGAAAATTTTCATTGTAGAGGTGATGGAGTGTTGCATTTGCTGATGCAAAAACTCACAACATTACGCCTCAACATGAACTAATGTATCATATGCATTAAGGACAGTCCTTGTACTAGAAGTTTAAGAGTGGTTACGCTGCTCTAAGTTAGAGAAAATTCGACCTAATCATCTGAAAAAAACAGGCATTTTAAAATGGCCAAAAAAAAAAAATTCCTTCGCTCATATCTCAACATATATCAACCTATTGTATCGTAGAAATTAAGCTGCAATTATTTACTTGAATGGCTGGGGGGTGTTTTAACAGTCATATGTTACTTGATAAAGTAAAAAAAAATAACAATTAACATCTTTATCAAATCTCAGATGTTTTGAAAAGTGAGTTTAGTCTTAATGTATTCATTTTTGAAAATCATTTAATAAAAAAAAATCAAACATCTGTAGATTACTGCTTGTTGCGTTTCTTTTGCGTTTCAGTATAGTATTTCAACGCTTTATAATGACCTACTTATAGTCTGTATGTCTCCCATTATATTTGATAATCAAAAACATGGTTTGAATATGAGCAGTTTTTACCAGGACAAAATACTCATACATAAGTCTATATTGCATGGAATGCACCCGCTTCATCTAAAATTAGCTTTTCGTACAGTCAATAGTGGTTAAGATTAACTTATTAGCAAATTTAATCTATCAATGGATTGTATTTTGATTTAGATCAACATGTTTAAACGACCTGTTAAATATTATAATTCATAACGCGATAAGAATGTAACCGGTCGTCAGGGGATGCTCACTCCTGCATGGCACCACTCCCACCTCTGATGTTTAGGAGGTCTGTGTTTGCTCTGCTCTGATTTTGCGTTGTTTTATGTACTTTGATATTGAATACTGTTCGTGAGCTCCATATCATTCATCAAATTACCAGCGTATTCGTGAAAGCAGATATTATACAATAATTGCTGCTTTTCGAAGTCAATACAATGATTTAGCCAACAGAGAAGCACAATATTCACCGAGCTCGATGATGGCTAATTCATTGTATTGACCGTAAAAGCAGCAATAATTGTTTTGTTATATGATTCATTGAAAGATTGACACAGCTCATTACCAGTACTTGTTTTCATTTATAATTATATGTATGTCCTAGCCAAATACAAGAAAGAAGCATAGCCCTTACAAGTCGTATCAATTTGAAACGTTTTTTATCAATTGTACTTGCTATGAAAAAATTAAATTATGTCAGTCTTTTTTATTGGATAGATTTTGAAAGGATGGATTATATTTTCAGGGAAAACTGACTGCCAAAATGTAAATATTGGTGCTCAGTAAAAGTGTTGGAAGGGGTCTTTGCATCCTCTCTTACCACCCTCACCCGAAAATATATACTGTGGTTTCATCAATTTTCGTTGGCAACATTTTTCGTGGTTTTTGTAAAACAGACGCTTTCGAGAATACGTAATTTCGGGGACAAAAGCATTGCCAATACAAATAAATGTCATATTTCGTATTTCAATGAACATTTGAATTTGTGGATCTGCTCAACAACGAAATCCAAGAAAATTGGTGCTCAACAAATATTTATGAAACCACAGTATTCGCTTATGTTTTGTTCACATAAAAATTACATAGTCATTTAAATAGCTTTACAAAAAAATAAGTATCAATTTGGAATTTACAGATGTATTTTAAATCAATGTAGAGGAACTAATCCCTTTAATTCACCTGCATGGAGCGTCACTTGAAGAATTCCACTAAAGGAAGGACATATGTGAAATACTTTTAATGTCTAACATAGATCTGTTCATCTTTTCTAAAACAAATTTTGATGGAAAAAGAATCTTGAATTTATGCTTCGTAATTTGTGTATTTTTGCCTAAATAACGCAAAAAAAAAAAAAAAAAAAAAAATCATAATTTGATATCTTCCCAAAACCTCTTGTTGTACATGCAGTTTTTTTTTTAGCGATTAACAACTAATGGCATCATAATCTTAAACTACAATATCTTGAATATATTTCAATAGATAAGATAACTTACGTATGTCCTTAATAAAAACACATACTTTGTTATGGTTGACCAGATAAATTTAACAAACCAGCCTTTTGAAAACGTATACACCCCATTCTTTGATTATCTTTTTTTTTCAATCATTCTTTGCAAAATTATTTAAAAAAAACACTAAAATTTAAAAAGATGATCTAGGCTTAAAATTGATAAAAATAGAGCTCAACACTAACCCTAACCATAACCCTCAAATTAGTTTGTTTAAAAAATAAAAAGCTTTGGGTCCTTGAAGGCAATTAAGAATTTTGTGTTTGTGTATGAACTAAATGACATATATATTCTATGAACAAAGTGTTAATTTTCATAAATAATGTATATGAAGATCTTTGTATATGCAATGACACTAATATAAAGAAATGTATACTCACTAAATTATTTTCGATCATCCAAAGAGATTTAACTTCCATTGACAAGTGATACATTGACTAAGTAATCAGAATTTAATGTGTAAAATTAAAACCAGATACGAAAAAAGTATGGGCCTTACTTAAGTTTAAAAGCTTTCAGAAATGAAAACTTCATATCATAATTTTTTAATTATTTAATCAATTTTTTTTCTAAAACGCACACGGAGAACAATGACCCCAAGATTACAAAATGACACCCGGTCAATATTATACGAGGGTCATTTTGGGTCGTTACACCGACTGCTTAGTGCAATCGAACTCTAGATTCTATTGAATAATGCAGTTATCAAACGAATTTGTATCCAATCAGAATAAAGTATTTTATTGAAATTAAGTGATTTCCTTCCTTTATGATAAAATATTAGCTAAATTGTCGTGATTTCATCAGAGAACTGAATCTAAATTTACAATCAAAGTACTGAAAGCACTCATGTGAGTTGAACATGGTGTAAAATAAAATCTTTGATCGGGAGATTAAGTAAGTAAACAATATTATTATAATATTTCAAATACAGACAGCTGTTTCAGTTTTTTTTGTGATGCAACAATCTTGAGAAAGACATTCAGAGACATTGAATAGCAAATAAATGCATGGCGGGCCATAATGCTTGCGTGCCTATATGAGTCCTTCTTATACCCCCTGCTTGAAAAGCGGGAGGATATTTTTTAATCGGGATTTCCGTCCATCTGTTTGTTACTTAGGTATACCCATCTCTTATCCGCAACTCCTCTTACACCACTGAACGAAATTTTCATAGAATCTTTATAACATATTGCCGTTGTGCATCTTCTATAACTTTTTCATCCTACACATATTTTGGGTTTCCCATTGCAAAACATATTCATATTAGAGGCGGTTGATCATTTATATAATTCACTGCTCACATACAGTCTTCAAATTTGTAATTATATTTTTCCTTGGCACCTTTACCCATATGTTATGAATATTTCAATTTCGCATGAATAATATCAATGTTGATAAAATGTGGATTTTAACACAGCATCCTTTTAAGAGCTAACAGGTTTGTTATATAAAACTTCTTTATGAATATAAATGTATTTCAGTTACACGAACATTATACATGGAGTACGTCAGAACTTTTTCAAAAAAAAATTAAAATTTTGAAGAAAAAAGCAATAAAAAGCAATACCAAGTTACAAACAAATATTTCATGACCAAACATAAAAACAGTGGTATATGTGAGAGTTTGTGTGCGCACAAATTATCTGGTATGTAAATGAGGTTTTCCTTTTATTAAAAAAATATACTCCATTTTGTTGCTTTTAATCGCGGTTTTACGAAAACATCGGTGTCCGTTTTTGGTTTTAACATTAATAACAGGTTACTAGATTGAATGTTTTTGGCAGGTGATACTGCTGATTTAGTAATAAATACGCATATTTCCTAAAGTTTTCTGCATTAATGAATTCATTTAAAACAAGAAAATGTTCAAGAAAAGTTTGATTCTGTGCACCGGTAAAAAAGATATTGCTAAAAATCCAGGACCGTCGGGCGTCGAGAAGACTAGATGTAACGGTTGCCGTCAGTATATGACACTACACGGAAAATGAGTTCCATTACGAAAAACTTTTGAGGTTCTTTTATAATTTAGTTTTTCTTTTAACGAAATCTAATATTCAAAATAAGATTACTTTATCATTACATTTACTTACATTTCAAATTATGAAAATTAGATCAATTCAGGAGAAAATGACATGAACTATTTGTGGCGGATGTTTATGCATGTTTTCTGTTGAATATCATCGGAGTAAATCGGGAGACACAGTAGCCTCGCTTTCGGCTCTATATAATCAACACAAATTACTGCGCATGTTAAATACGTGATGACCATGTGAGATTGAACATAGTTCAACTCCCAAAAAGCAAAACACTAGACAGATATTACGTACAATTTTGTAAAGATAAAACAAATCGTGATATACAATATATGAAATGTGCGTAAATATTATTTATTATCTTGTCGGCCTTTATCGCTGGGGACTAACCTCTATATGTACATTTCAAACAATCTCATTACAAAACCATTGGTCAGGTAAATTTAGGACGTAATTGATTATCGTTATCGGTTATCTTCAAATTCGAACATCTGCCAGAGAAAAAACAAAATGTTTTCAGATCAGATCAGTGTCTCAATTTAAGAAAAAAATATTTTTCGAGTCTCTAAGCTACACATAGTGAGGAAAAGCTTCTATGATTAATATCAAAGATGTTTTACTCCTCCTATCTTTCTCATTGCTAGCTTTAATAATACGCCCTCTTTTATTGCTTCAATGAAGTATATGGCGATAACGAACTGGTTGTAAGCTAAATTATGCTTTACAACTTTTCGTACATTAACGTAATTCTAATAAAATATGAATACAATAAATATGAATGAGATGCAAAAGTCTATGAAAGCTTTGTAAAGAGGAGCAGAACAAGGACGTCTTGAAAATCGGGGGTTTGAATGTGTGCTTTTGAACTTTTATTAAGTACATGTATCACCAGCCGACGGGTCACACTTTGTCATGATTGTAGATAAACGGACAATGTGTAGACAATAATGACCTAATAACCTTAAATTCACATTATACTTAATAATAGAAGGTACCCCTTGATGCAGTCATTATATCTAAAAAAGAAATTGTAAAACGAAACTGTTGATCTAATCTTTGATTGTTCATAATTTACCTTGACTACTAATATGTCCCACTTAGAGCATAGTTTTCAAATAAGTATCTTAATTTTTAAAAAAAAATGTTTTGGTACCTGAGAAGTTCTCTTTATTTAAATTTAATATTTAAATTAAAAATGTTAAAGAACCTCAATTATATGTACATAATATGAAATCAACTACATGTAGTCACGTTGAGTTAATTCTCACTCAAATTTTCTCCTGATAAACCCAGGTTATTGCTTCCGGATCATTGAAATGCTTTCATATTTCCACCTGGATTATTTCTTAAACAAATTTCTAAGAAACAACATTTTTTTAAAGATTTAATCGTCAATGAATAAAAATATGAAAAACATGAATATAAACATTCAATGCAAATGGAACAGAAGACCGGGTAGGCATTCTACAATGGTAATGCCTGATGAGAATCCTTTTATAAATGAAGGTTTTATTTTCACTCTGACGGTTATGGGAATAAGAGTATTAAATCTCAAAGTCCATAAAACAAAACATAATACGAGCAGAGCAACCACGGACCTCCGAAACATCAGAGGTGTTATCAGGTGCCAGGAGAGAGCATCCCCTGCTGACCGGTCACACACGCTATTTGCTCCTTGTCATGATCGGGAAATAACGAAAAAATCCTTTGTCAATCCAATGTATAAATAAAGGACTAACAATAAGTATAAAAAACGTCAGTCAGCATTTGAGTTTATGATAAGTTGTATTTACTGACAAGGTCATTGTATCAACCTTAGAACTGCTGATATTCTTGTTTCATCAACTCGCCTGACAATAATTTACCTTGTTTTAGAAATTGTTCGTACGTAGATCATGCTTTTGCGTGTCGAATCAACCGAGATATATACACTCTGTATACAGATGATGAAGGTATATTGCTGCATAAGTAAGGGAAGTTGACGATGGAAAAGTTAAAGTCATCATGTTTATCTTGTATCATGGTTGTTAGATACATACTGTAACCATTAACGTCTTTTTCAAAAGAAATGACCAAGAATAAAACAGATGTGTCAGACTTCAGTGTTATATTTTATCTCACCAGGATATACATTGTACTGTATCGTCTGGGAATGGATATTACCATTGTTAATTTACAATGCATCGTCGATATTTCAGGTACACTACTGTATCTAAATGTCGAGTTAAAGACAACAACGAGTGTTTTCTTTTCACGAATAAGATTTTGTACAAATTTTGCTTCATATGAATACAAAAGTAATTCTGTTGATAACGCAGTGCAATTGGTACCTGTGGGATTTCCAATAGAATGTTGGAAGACCTGGACTCCAAAAACCACATAGATATTGTCAATCAGAAATTCAAGCATTGAATATAATTAAGATTTAATGATTCATTTGATTTAAAAGATTGGGGTTCCTTTCTCCTTTCAAATACTTTTTAAAGGATAAATTTTATGATTTGAGATAAAAATATTTTTAATGCAGTTTTGAGATGGCTGAAGATAAATTGGAAGAATCTATTGGAACAGCTCAACACTACATAGGATGTGCCATATGTGAAGACTGCTCCAGCTTCTACTGCAATGACTGTCATCAGAGCTTGTGTGATCAGCACAGAGACGCTCATCTAAAAGAAGAGGAAAACAAGCAACATGAAGTTGTTCTCTACATAGACAGAAGAATTCGTTTACCGGTAGAAAAATGTACAATCCATCCGACAAGAGATCTTGAAATCTACTGCGAATTCTGCAAGGATCCTATTTGTTCCAAATGCTCTACTTCAAATCACAGTAACCATCAGGCCTCCGATTTAGAGATTGTCTATAATAATAAATTTCAGCAATGTAAAGGTGATCTGTCAAAAATCGGTGAAGAAAAACTTGACTCGCACAAAGAACGAACAGAAAAAGATGAAGAAAGATTTAACCTGACGAGATCAGCCATGGTGCAAAGAGCTGAGGAGATGAAAGAAATTGTGGATAATGTCCTCTCTGAAATGATAATTGAACTTGGTGCCATGAAAGATTTATATTCAAAAGAAACAGAAAAAGAGAGATCAAAAATAAAAGCCTCAATTGAACAACATAAAAAAGAGATGGAAAGAGAATCAATGAAGCCGTCTAGTCTCTTAAAATTCCATCAGAAATTGATTTCACAAGCACTGGAGAAAGAGCAAAACCCTGTAACTGATTATTCAGCAGTACCAATATTCATGAAAGGTAAAGAAGATAAAAAGGTAATTTTGCAACAATTTGGAGAAATTTGCTGGCCAGTAAAAGAATTGAATTCCTATGGACACAAAGAGGCAAAGAATCTGAGTCAGACCTATTCACCTCTAGGCAAGGAGAGAGAAGCAAAAAGCAGAAGGACAAACTCGCTGTGCGATATTACAGGTGCTCCGTCAATTCAGTTTGATGTTAAAAAGGAAGGAAAAATTAACATATGTACACTAGCATTTCATTTATCTGTTTTGTCCTCTGGTAATTTCTGGGCCAGTAACAGCTGGGGTGACCTCATCCTATTTGACAAGGAGGGAAATGTGTTAAAGAAAATTACTACAAATATGGTAGATGCCATAGGCTATCACAACATTACTGTGGAGGGAGAACTTCTCTTCACACTTGCCGAAAGTAAAGGAATCTTCCAGGTAACTGGTGAATTGACCACCTCGAGAATAATCTCGTGTGAAGAGTGGGAACCCGGAGCCATTTACTCCTCTCTCTTAAATGGAGACATACTAGTAGGGATGAATAAAAATAAAGAATTCAAGGTGACTAGATTCAGCAAGGAAGGGACGAAACTCCAGGTGATCCAAAAAGATGAAAAAGGGAACAATCTTTACAAGAGTATAACCTACATCACAGAGAATATAAACGGTGACATCTATACATCAGACTATACCGCCCATAGCGTGGTAGGGGTGAACAGATCCGGACAGCACCGGTTCTCTTACTCTGGACACAAATCTCAGTCTGAATTTCATCCCAATGGTATCTGTACAGACAAGCTGGGACATATCTTGGTGTGTAATAGCTACTGCTCCTGGTTTAGAAATTTTTCCAGTGTCCACCTGCTGGACATTGATGGTCATTTTTTTCACTTTTACTCTCACCAGATCAATGTCCAAGGAAACCCCGTGCTCTCTTTTTGGATGATCATGACACATTAATGGTCGGTGGTGAGGATAGTAATACTGTCAATGTGTACAAATACCTCCAGATGACAGAAAACAACTAAACATATGTAAATCTAGAATTGTGAACTCCGTCAAAATACACACTTACTAAATTCCATAGAAATTTTAATAGTAGTTTTGTTTTTGCACTCTTTCATAATTTATGAACTCAAAATAAAGCAGTTTAATGTCGATATCAAAACCAATCTTTCAATGTAAAGATCTCCAAAAAAGTTCGTGGAAAATGACGTTTTTTTTTAGATAAATGGTTGTATATAAATCTGTTGTATATCAAAATACTTCTCATGAAAAACAAGCTAGAATGATTCAAATTTTATTGATGGGACACAATATTTTTGTAAAAATTGAGGTCTTTTAAGATCGCAGATTGTGCGCACAGACCAAGGTTAAAATGACATTAATTCTGATATAAATTGTTTTGATTAATGAATATCTTATGTATAAAACAAGTCAAACCTCAATAAAAGTTTTATGAAACACAAATAAAGAGACTATAATCATTTTATGATATCTTAAATATCGTTTACTATATAGACAGTAATATACTAAACAAACCCAAACAGGTGAGTGTCAAAACTCAACAGAAAAAGTGATGTCGGCGGTCCGAACGGAATTGAAGGCATTGTGTATCCATGATATATTTGAACAAAATACCCTTTGGCATACTCTCGATTTTTGCTTTTAATTCTTAAATGTAAATATAATTCATTCTTTGTTCAATACGTTTAATTTATTTTTTCTTTAAAAATGAAAATTATAAAAAAAAATATGATTTTTTTACTGTAACGTGTATGCATCAAAATGTTTAAAACTTATTTTAATATCTATAATCAATTTGCCATTTCTCAGCCCCATTTCTCAATACAACGGCTTAAGGAAAGGATTGCACGGGTCCGTGAAAAATTTCTGCCCAATGAATTTTTCTCATTTTTACATATAACCTTCCTAATGTCAATGATACCATTATATCGAAGTATCAAGCATGGTCATCAGGCTTATAGGGAAGTTATGGTTGTCATGGTAACCACCATTTTTTAGTCTTTTGATATTTATGAGGTGAATGTTTTATATTGCCATAAACGCAACAAAATTGAAGCAAATTAAATATTTTCTTGCAGATATTAAATAATATGCTTTATATTTATTGAAAATAAAAATTACTTCGGAAACTATTGATAAATGTAGCAATGCCATTGTTTTTTTTTGTTTTTTTTTTTGGGGGGGGGGGGGGAGTATTAATTGTAAAATTGCAGTAATATTTTCACCTCAATAGCAGTTTTTAACGTCTAGACAAAAAATTACCCAATGAATTTTCCCAAAACTAATATATGCTGTACTAGTCATTATAAGTGACTTATGGATAAAATATGAAGTAAGGTAATCAGATTAATTTTGAAGCTACACGCATTTCAGTACCCCCCCCCCCCTCCTAGAATATTAAAGATTTCACAGATTGTTATATGATGGTTTGTTGTTGGACCTTAAATATGCATAATCTGTTTGAAGACAATAAAAGCAATATGTATAGATAAATGAATACTTTTTCCTCTGAAAATCTCGCAGCTGGTGCTCATTTTATATGTGAGCACAATGATTTAATTATCACCGACAGTGCTCACGAAAGTAATAACTTTTTTTCAAACTCAGTTTTTCATCTCCAAAACATTCATTTTGTTCCTATATCAGTATAAATAAATAATATTTTAAATATCAGTGCACAGTCCTCAAAGACCTTATTCTTCATGCTTTGAACACTCAGCGATGTGACCTGGAATCGGCAAGGGGGGGGAGGGTGGCAGACATTTGAACACATTGAATGAAAAGAGATAATTTTATAAAACTTGTAACTGCATTATAATTTTTTTAAAATAAATGTATTCATCCATTAATAATCTTATTGGCCAAATTTTAGTAATAATTGCTCTAAATATTCACATTTACACATAGTTTTCCTTCCTATTCTTTTCAAGTAAGTACAATTCATTTTCTCTCTACATAAATGAGCGCTATCTCCATTGTGACGTCACAATGTCATAATTGACGTCAAAACTATAGATCTACTGTTTTGATTAAAAAACAATCATTGATTGAAATAACTTTCCGTCGCTTTATGATACATGTATATGCTGGAGTGAAACATATATATTCATGTCCATGTGATTAAAAATAAAACATTTTTTCAAATGTATTCCAATAAGCATGATGAGTTCATATGTTTCTTTTATTTACTTATGTACATATTTTCCCTGGTATTCTTTCAGAAGAAGTGTGTTGTGTTTCAATACGGCGCATAAAACATTTTACAACAATCGTTTACAATATATGTGCGACGATGATTGAATGTTTACGGTCGATGTCACTGCTGAAAATGCTAAAGATTTTATAGGAGAACACAAAAGTCTTTGCGATATTTTTTTAAGATATGTCTTCTACAAATATGTGCTCTTTGCCGTAACACGTTTATCAAAATCGCCTTCGTTCATCAATATTTATACATGTATCTAGTAAATCACGCCGTCTGATTCTCTTATTGGAAATTATCTATACACTGATGTAGATCCTATGTTACACAACAATCTTAAATAAAATTCTAATTCAAAAATGAGGATATAAACCCCAATAAATAAATAAAATTTATTTTTAATGAAATAGATTTCAATGATCATAGATATACAATAGATAGACGTGTCAAATTGTAAAACATGCACATAGATAAAAAATATGATTAACGCTCACCAACACTCTAAGTGCATCTAACAATCTTCAATATCTTATACTTATAGAAAAATAAACCCCATTTGGCATGAGCGCAAACATATCATGACGCTCCTTATTCCGGAAATAGTTTCAGCAACATTCTTTTTTTATTCACCAAATGACGTGATCACGTGACGCCGTGCAATCGCGTCCTTAAGAAATTAATTTAATGCTGTAAATACTTTTTACAAAGAACACTACCACATGAAGAATATTTAAGTTGCTATAATTTGAATGTTTTAAATTATACAGTTTCGGAAAATAATTCCGTTTACCACTTCATATTATCCTTGTAAATAAAATACCAGACTACCTGAATTAATGACATGTTATCAAATAAATAAAATGTCGGCCATAAAATACATGTAGAATCAATGGATCCTTTAATTTTTCACCATATCATCTGTTTGAGAGTTACAATGTTATTTTACCAAGAATGAATAAGGCTTCTATAAAGATACACTAAATATGCCAAGAAAATGGAAAAGGCAAAGTTTTACTCATGCACCATTCTTGCCATACCTAGGGTTCTGATTCAACACGTTTAAATGGCGTTGGTCAGCAATGAGTTGACTCAGGATCCATTGCATCGCGAGTATGCTAATACACATCATTATAAATTACAGATACATAACAAATTGATGAATGGGAACTACGGAGGAATTAACAAAGAAGACAGTTTAAAAAGACTCAAAAGTGTAGCGTCTTCTGAATCTGATGATCTGATTGATTAAAATTCGTATGCTGTTTAACTTTTATTTGAGGGTGGGGGGATCAAACTCATGTACATGGAGGGACATGTTTATTAAAGTAAGGAGTAACACTGAAAACAAATTCTTGGGCTACCAGGTTTGGAATCAGCATATAATGATTGATAGAAATGTAAGAAAGTTTGGTTAGCTTAGCAATATATATCGATGTAAAGGGTAACCTATAGGATATAGGTTATGGTATGAACTTTGAAGTGGTTTTTTAACTTTGCAGGAGGTAGATATCATATTTGTAAAAGTTTAAAGTAAGGAAAAAACGTTTAGTTGAACACCCTTTGTTGCAACCCCTTCTGGACAGAAAATAAAGTTGTTTAAAGGAAACGTTTGCAAGTGTTTTTTTTTGTATCAATCTTTGTCTTTTATCCTTAAAATAAGCTTTTAACATCAGGCTTTTTGCTATTTAAAGAACAAAGAATAACACCGAAACCACAACTGTTCCCAGTCGACTAAACTGTACAGAAGTGCTTGCACAATCCGTGACCCTTTGAAAAAGACAATTGCCATTAATTGGAACACATATTGACACTACATGCGCATGTCATTGGCCTCTAAGAATTCAAATCTAAGAATTTTTTTGTCTCATGCAAAATAAATCACTGTTTGGGAGTTGAAACCCCATATGATAGATAACCGCTATTATGTTTACCCAAATATGATTAATATAACAAGATAAACCCTTTTGGTAGTCCAAAAAATGAATGTGCTTAACTAATCAGTGGACATGTCATGGGATGATATATATTTATTTGTACATGTAATTTGACTTAAATGAATCGACTTTGAGTAAAAACACTCCTAAATTACTGCTGTTGAATTATCAGACGTGTCGGTAAGCGACAAACCACCTTATGTTTTATTAAATCTGAAGATCTCTTAGGATGAAAGTCAGGTACGACCACAAATTCATTATCATATATCATGTTTTACAAAGCAAACACTTGTTTAATCACGTTCGTAGTACTGTTAAGGTAGGGTTCTTTTCTGGTTTCTGACTAGATGAAACATACAAAGTAGATTTGCTTATATGTCTTATATATTGAGGTCACAATTGTACAACTTTAAATAGAAATGGTAAACTGCGTTTGAAAACTAGCAGGGACTATATTTTTGGCGGAATGGTGGCGTATGAAAATATCTTCTTTTCTGCCTCTCAAAATTATAATAGAACAATGAATTTATTTACATTTTTTACTCAATTGAAGACTTGGAGAAATTTTCAAATGTTAAATTAATAATGAGGGACTAAACTTTCAAAATATATCAAATAAATATGATTTTATTCAAACTTCAAACAAACTAGAACTTTGTGAGTTTTTAATCGCTTCCTATCAAAGTGCAAATTTGAGCAAAAATTCCATAAAAGATATTTTTTTCTCTCTTAGTAAACGATCAAAGCTTTTTGTTTTTGTATAATTTTTTTTACAATTATAAGACTTCTTTATTATATGTGAAAAAAAGAAAAAGCTAAATATAGGAAAAATCTGTTAATAACTAATATATCCTAAAAATTAAGAAAAACAGAGAAAATTCGGATTAGCCAATATCCAGTTAAGATAAATTATTTATGTTCATTTGGTAATATCACGCTATAAACCCCGTATAGGAATATGTTTTTCGCTATAGACCCCGTATAGTAATATGTTTTTATGCAAAAGGAACAATCATTAAACTTTTTAAAATAGAAGTAGGTAATACATGATTGGCAACAGTTATCTTTTACTCTTAATGTCAAGGTAAAAGACAATGACCTTGACCTGACCTTGCCTCTTATATAAAACAGTCAAGTTTAATTTCACTGAAACTATCACTTACTAATATTATCTTCTTGATTCTGTGAAAATTTAATTAATTTTTAAATACTAAACATATGAGATGAATCCTACCATACTAAAGGCTTCCCAGGGCTTAAACGGCATTTAAAATGTAACGCTGCATTTCAAAGTTGATTTTGAATTTAATTTTAAGTTATGTACTTTAGAATACCCTTTTCATATAGAGATTTCTCAAGGCTATATATAAACATATTTGTTACGATATCACATGACCGTGTTGATCACGTGACTGTAATTTCTTTCTTTTTTGGTGGGGGATGTTTCACATAAATCGCTTCGGCGCAGGTTAACACAATTATAATTAACTTTTTCTAGCATAAATAAACTCGTGGCATCCTTGTGATCCCAAACTGTGCTTGGGAAATGTAATAAGTTTTTATTTGGAACAAAATATTTCACACCAACTTCAACTTACAGACAAATCTAAGGGTATTTTCCGCTGAATATCGTCATCTGTTTTAAAACAAAGCCATCATACATCTTTCCCAAGCAGGATTCAGTTACAGGGGAAACTCCTCCTACATATTTCCACAAAATATTTTTAATAAATCCTCTTTAATAACCTGCGACAGGCTCTTTTAAACACATATGATGAAATCTGCCTCTGTCCATTGGTTTTCGTACGTACTAAAACAAAAGTAATAAAGAAAAGTTATCTAAATTATTCGAATATATTAGATTTTTGAAAACATGTTAAAAACCTTTTTTTAAACTAGCATTCTGCATCTTTAAATGCAGATTTAACTAAAGTGTAAAGTTTATGACACTTTCCCCATCATTACAGCACAAGTATGCAGTGACTTTACGTCATTTTCAATTATGACGTCATACATTTGCAGTTCAGAGGAGTGCTTGCACAGAGTACACTACAATATTCTGTGGGGAGCCTTATCATACCTGCGTTGTTGAATAACTTTATCACCTTCATAGTGTCATATATGTGTTAGAAATGGGGTGATGAGGGAGGATTGAAATCCTCTCCCCCATTTTTGCAAGAAAAACAAAGCATAGGTGTTTTGAAAATTGGAGTCTTTCCCCTCAAACGTACCATCATTTTTGCTCAATTTTCTATGTTTACTTACCTAAAATTTGTTTAATATTGTTTACTGAAATTCATCATTTTATGTTATATCAATAGCAGGTACAAGTAAACTTGTGATAATGTTTGTTATCAGGCTCTTCAATCTTAAACATGTAGCCTGTTATCAGGCGTTTATTTTTAAATCGAAACTTGGTATGCTACCTGAAATGACATGAAAACTTTACGGAAAAATAAGCAGCTGTTGTCAAATGTCAATAAAAGAAAGGTATGTACATATTTAACCATGTTAGCATTATTCTTGGATCCTCTATGATTTTATTCAAACAAAGGAATTTTATGTAAATTTCAATTTCAATAATGATTTTAGGACATCATTTACATAACGAATTGCCTCAGCTTTTCCGTTGTTTAATTCCCCGATCATGTCAAGAACCAAACATCTTGTGCGGCCGATCGAAAGGGAATACTTGCTTCACGATACTATTACAGTATACATCATTTTTATGCCCCTACTGGGGATTGAACCCGGGCCTCTGGCTTGCCCGTCCAGCGCTCTATCAATGGAGCTAAAGGTTTAACCCACTAGCCCAAGCTAGTAGACAGACATGTCTTACACTACTACATTGTCTCCCTCCGGAGAATCAGATGTCGTAATCTCTTTTTGAGTGTCGACGTCTAGGGGCGTAGTTCTTGGGTATTCACATTCACCCGTCAAAGAACACCTGGGTCCCAACATTGGCGCCAAATGTAATACAGACAATTTTGTGCCTCTGGTGGGGATTGAACCAGGGGCCTCTGGCTTGCTAGTTCAGTGTTCTACCAATTGAGCCAAAGGTTTAACCCACTCGCCCAAGCTAGTAGGATGCATTGTATCTTACACTAGTACAATACCATCTGATCCCAGCTCTGATGTTTCAGAAGTCCATGTTCTTTGTTCTGTATTAAATAAGATAACTAAAGTTTTTTTTATTCATTAATGTTAAGGAATTATTATTGGCTAAATGGCCGTGATTTCATCATAGAAATGAATCTGAATTTGACAAGGCAAATCACTAGACCTATATTAAGTAAACTTTCTGAAGATAAAGCAAATCGTGACATACAATATATGAAATGTGTTTAATGTTATAAATCATCTTGTCGGTCTTTATCGCTGCTGACAAAACTCTTTATGTACATATTAAACTATGTCATTACAAAACCACTGGTCAGTTAAATTGATTATCTTTTTTTTTATCTTCATGTTCGAACATCTGCCAGAGAAAAAACAATGTTTTCAGATCAGTTTCAAAGTGTCTTAAGAATAAATATTTTGCAAGACTACACATAGTAGAGAAAAGCTTCTTTGTTTAATATCAAAGATGTTTTACTCTTCCTATCTTACTCATTTTTTATCAAATGATATGCCCTCTATTACATCGTCGCAAACCACGGGATAAATGTACGATCTCGCCCATTCTGGCCGTGGTTGAACGGGGAAAGAATTCTTTAGCTCATTAAAATATTGAACAATGCGAGTAAAGCATACTCGGATGGTGAACTTTATCGCGACCTTTCAATGTCCAATCGCAGTATAGGAAATATTTCTTGTATACTGATGAAGTAAGTTGTTGATTTCAATTACGATGGAAACAACACTTGCCACTGACTGGATATGACGTCACAGTAGAGAGGCGTAAATATTCAAGACAGTTTTTGTGATCAAGCAGCACGGGTAGGACAGAACTATATGCGGTCCGTGGCTTGAGACGATGCCTCTATCATTGCTTCAATGAAATATATGGCGATAACGAACAGCAATTATGCTTTACAACATTTTCGTACAATAGCCTATTAAAATATTAATATAATGCATATTTATGAGATGCAAAAGTGTTTGCAAACTTCGCAAATTAGGAGCAGAACTAGGACGTTTTAAATATCAGAGTCGGGATTATGTTTTTTGAGCTGTAGGTATCACCTGTCGACAGATCACACTTTGTTACAATTAAATAACTGGAAAATGTGTAGACAATAATGACCTAATAACTTGTACGCAAAATCCTTTAATTAACACTTGAAAATAGAAGGTACTCCCTGATACAGTGCGTGACTATATCGACAATAGAAATCATAAAAATAAAACTACTAATCTGCTTGAATCTTTGTTTGTACATAATTTGCTTTGACTACGAATTGGTCATACTTGGAGCATGTATATAAAAGTATTCTTTTAATAACCGTAACGTGAAGCGGTCACCCATCCAAGGGTTAAACAGGCTCGCCGTTGCTTAACTTGCCTGATATAGAGGGAGACTCCACCAGAAAAGCTACCTGACTCGTGATGCAGTATACATTCCCTATATATACTGTCCGCTAAATAACTATCTTGTTTTTTAATGTTTTGGTACTTACGAAATTCTCATGTTTATAACTAATATTCATATCATTGAACCTTAATTATCCGCATATTGTATGAAATCAATTAATCAAGTGGAATAAATTTTAACTTAATTTTTGTCTGGAAGGTAAAAAACCTAGGTTAATGCTTCTGGATTATTGAAATGCCTTTCATATTTTCACTTGGATTATTTTTTTTTAAACCAATTTCATTTTTTTTATCGTCGATGAATAAAAACATGAATTTAAAAGTTCAAATGAATGCAAATTGTTTAGAAGACAAGGTTGGAATTCTGCAATCGCAATTACTGATGAGAATCCTTTTTATGAATGTAATAAAGATTTTATAAGTCATTTGCCTAGAGATTAGGGATCCTTTCTTAACATAATTTCTAAAGATTGCCGTTTTGGATACTTTTAAAGAAATAAATTTTATGGTTTATCGAGATTAAAAATATTTTATTTTTCATGCAGTTTTGAGATGGCTGATGATAAAGTGGAAGAATCTAATGGGACAGCTCAACACTACATAGGGTGTGCAATATGTGAAGTTAGCTCCAACTTATACTGCAATGACTGCCACCAGAGCTTGTGTGATCAGCACCGAGATGTCCATCTCAAAGAAGAGAGAAACAGACACCATGAAGTTGTTCTGTACAAAGACAGAAGAATACGTTTACCGGTCGAAAAATGTACATTTCATCCGACAAAAGATCTTGAAATCTTCTGCGACTCTTGCAGGGATCCTATTTGTTTCAGATGCTCTACTTCAAATCACAGAAATCACCAGACCTCCGATTTAGAGATTGTCTATAATATAACACTACAGCAATGTAAAGATCAGCTGACAAAAATCCGTGAAGTAAAACTTGATTCCCAGAAAGAACGAACAGAACAAGATGAAGAAAGATTTAATCTGACGAAATCAGCCATGGAACGAAGATTCAGTGAGATAGAAGACATTTTAAATATTGTTCTTTCCGAAAAGTTGAGTGAACTTGGTGCAATGAAAGATTCATATTTTAAAGAAACAGAAAAAGAGATATCAAATATAGAAGCCTCAATTGCCCAACAAAAATACGAGATGGAAAGGACATTAACGAAGCCGTCAAGCCTCTTAAAATTCCATCAGAGATTGATATCACATGCACTGGAGGAAGTACATGACCTTGTAACTGATCATTCGACATTACCGACATTCATTAAAGGTATAGAAGATAAAAAGGTGATCGAAAAACAATTTGGAGAAATTAAGTGGCCAGTAAAAAAACTGTATTCAGGTCCTCACGAAGAAGCTATTAATTTAAGCCAGAGCTTTCCACCTCTGAGTAAGGAGAGAGAAGCAGAAAGCAGAAGGACAATGCTGCCACTGTGCGATATTCTAGGTGCTCCGAAAATTAAATTTGATGTGAAAAAGGAAGGAATGATGAACATTCGTACCCCAGCCTATCATTTATCTGGTTTGTCCTCTGGGAATTTCTGGGCCAGTAACAGCTGGGGTGAGCTCATCTTATTTGACAAGAAGGGGAATGTTTTAAAGAAAATAACTACTAACGTAGTAGATGCCATGGGTTATCACACAACCACCATAGAGGGAAAACTTTTCTTCACAATTGCCAAAAGTAAAGCAATATTCCAAGTAACTAGCGAGTTGACCACCTCGAAAATTATCTCGTGTGAGGAGTGGGAACCAGGGGCCATTCACTCCTCCCACATTAATGGAGACATACTAGTGGGTAATAATAAAAATAAAGAATTCAAGGTGACAAAATTTACAAAGGAAGGGAGGAAACTCCAGGTGATCCAAAGAGATGAAGAAGGGAACAACCTTTACAAGAGTATAAACTACATCACAGAGAACATCAACGGTGACATCTGTACATCAGACTATACCGCCCATAGCGTGGTAGGGGTGAGCAGATCCGGACAGCACCGGTTCTCTTACTTAGGTCACAAGTCTCAGTCTGAATTCCATCCTAATGGTATCCGTACAGACAAGCTGGGACATATCTTGGTGTGTAATAGCTACTGCGCCTTGCTTGGCCTCAGAAATTATTCCAGTGTCCACCTGCTGGACATTGATGGTCAATTCCTTTCACTTTTACTCTCACCAGATCAATGTCCGGAGAAACCCCGGGCTCTCTGTTTGGATGACCATGACACATTAATGGTCGTGGGTGAGGATAGTGCTACTGTCACTTTGTACAAATATTTCCAGATGAAAGAAAACTAAAAATATGTAAATCCAGAAGAAGTGTGAACCCAATCAAAATTGCACACTTACTAAATTCCATAGAAAGTTTTATTTATGCACTCTTTCATAATTTTTGAACTCAAAATAAAGTGGTTTAAAGTCAATTTTAGGACCAATCATTCAATGTGACGATCTATTCCTAAAGCTAGTAAAATATCCAATCTAGAACGTTTACTTGCGATACAAGAAAACATTTTTTTTTCGCAGCACATTTAAGGTTACAAAAAGGAGGCGGAGCCTAATTTGTACGGGAAAACTTGACTATGACATCATACACAATATACGTCATACAACATTTCTTTAAAATACCACAAAATGAGTTTATCTGCTAATTGAACCAGTAATAAATGATCCAACTACATAAAAACTTACTACAGGGTATTGTTTTGTCTTAAGTTAAATCCCACATAACATGTTATATACATGTCACTGATCGCAATACACTTGTCAATATGACGTCATTTCTTACAACGTGACGTAGTTTGTATGCAGTGAGAGACAGATCAAGTAATATTTTCTCAACAAAATATGTATTCTCTTATTAAATAAAATATTATTTACAGATATTCTATGTGCCAATAACTTGAATTTAATGTCTTCTTCACTATTTTATTAATATATTTTCTGTACATTACGTATTTAATTTACACTGCCGTATATTTGTATGCAAGTACACCGGAGGGTAATGAGGGGGTCTTAATAAATCGGTCTAGTACAAGGGCATACACTCTATGAATCATAGTAAGCTTTTACATTTCAACTCTAGAACTATTAAGGTATCTGAATGAATCCTGATGAAATCTTAAAAACAATTTAATTATATCAATATTTCATGCCGCTGACCTACAAAAAATATAGCATTCGGTCATACAAATATAATTTTAACAATGAAATTGCAGAATTTACACAGGATCGCAGCACATTTAAGAAACTACAATGTGTGTTGAAAATATTTATATAATATTAACTTTGAAATTAAACTTGGTTATGCCCTTGCACTAGTGATATTTATATGTAACATCAATACTGCAAGTCAATGTGCTCAAATTCTAAAATTGCGTGACTGCCGCATTGCGTGACTAGTCTAAATATAAAATATATTCGTCCTCAATATGTAGTTATTAAACATAATAACAATTATCCGATATAAATAATGTACTAAAAATAATCGCCATTCCGATTACAAATACATTTTTGAATACAAAATTTTGTCGATATTTCTATTGCGCACCTTAACTGTGCTGCGTTGACAGCAAATTTGAATTATACTTTCCACTTCCTTACTATAAAAAGTACTGCCTTTTAGGATTTCTTCTAATGTGTTAAATCTCTTTCTTCTAATTGTTTTGTCAACTACTCTACTCTGCTCATTTAAGTCAACCCTTCAGGTTTTAATCACGCGGTGTATTATCACAATCTGCAGATCAGAGCTGTCTCATTTGAAATCATTTTAACATAAAATATTTTTTATATATTTTTGTAAAATACATAATTTTAAAATGAAATTCTATTTTTGTAAAATTAGGGAATAACTCTCTTCCTATTTGGAATTTTCGACCGTAAAGACTGATTTAGCGGCCGCAAACTGAGTTTTACCGGCGACGCGTAAGCGGAGCCGGGAAAACGGATGTTTGCTACCGTTAAATCAGCATTAGCGGTCGCAAATACCAAATAAGAAAATAATTTATCCACTCTTATGCAATCTACGCATTTTTTGTTGTTTACCTCTTATTTGTAGAATTTTGCTATATAAAATACGTCACGGAGCATTGAGGTTTTGCGTCCCTTCATTATGACGTCACCATGAAAAGCTTTCATTTATGCTCTTTTACTGCTTCAAACATTAGTGCATTATCCAATCAAAACGTGTTTTACAAAAAAATTGTATTAGAATATATGTTTCTTGTTTTTATTATTGTTAAGTTTGATTTTACAACTTGCATTTCTTTTTTGTACATGTAATGGGCTCTTCGTGCAAACTTTTTATAAAATGGAATGATAGTGATAAACTGTATGATGTAAGCTAGAATCAAGAGTCTACTTTAAAACCAACATTTAGCAAGTTCTATGGTCGATACAAAGACATTATCAACAAATACAAACTATCATTTCAAAAACCTTGTCAGCAAAAATATTTAATTAAGTCAAATACTGATTGAGCTTTTTAATGTACATACTTAATTGTCTAGGGACACACGACATGTGTGACCAGTTGACAGGGTATATTTACTCCTCCAGGTCTCCTGATTCTTCCTCTATTGTTTTAGAGATCCAGGTTTCTTCTGCACCACTTTTTTCAATAGTCTTCAGCCTATAATTGCTTTGGATAGATTTTGGAATTCTAAAACACTTCCTTTACATTCTTTTTTCAAACTATAATCTAGATGCAACTTCATTAATATTATTTGACAAAATGTTGACATGAGTCCGATCATTTTGAAATGCTTTTCAGATGGGACTTGTTAAATGGCGGCAACCAGATTGATGGATTGTATGTTGTTTTGTGTCCCCTTCGGAAATATTTCATTCATGTAGAGACGTGTATGTATACCATTTTAGGCACTCATCTAGAGCCATTGATCAGTGAAGGATATTTATCGTGATAACGCATGTCGTGACACGCACCCTCTATTTTTAAGGCCTCATTCGTAGGAACTGCAACTCTCACTTCAAAGTGTCAAGAGCTTAGCGATGGAACAGTTCGTACCTATTTTTATCACCTTAGGTCAGTAACTGCTGGGGTTCGAACCCACGACCTTCCTTTCACGGAGCTAATGGTCTACGAAATGAGCTTTTTAAGACGGTTACATCTAGATTGAAGTTAATTTTCTTTATCTTTTCTGGACGCCTTTGTATTTATATATGATTTTTTGCGGTATTCCTGAATACACACATTGATCAAAGTCCGCCCAAAGCCATTTAAAAATGAAGTCCGCTTTTAAAATTTACAGACACTATATCAAGCAATAATAATGCTCTATTTTACAATAAAATAAACTAAGAGCATTTACCACTTAATGTAAACGTACAGCATTTGGCGGTGTTTTCTTTTTAGCACTTTTGGCCGAAAGATACTTCCGCTAATTTAAGTACATTGCTAAATGTCTTAAACAATAACACATGAATACATAAAGAAAGAAAATCAAGAAATGCGCTAAAAAGATCTACGCTCACTTGTTTAAAATCAATTTTCGCTAAATATACTATAGAAGCACAAATTTTCGTGGGGATAAAATTTCGTTGATTTGTCTTCAAAATTAGTTTCGTTGGCATTTAATTTCGTTGTTTTGAGAGTAAGCCTTTTCAAAATATAGTCATATAAAATTTCGTGTGGGATTTAATTTCGTTCAAAATTGTTAACAACGAAATTAACGAAAGTTAATCCCCCACGAATATTTGTGCTTTTACATAATTATCAGGTAAGGGGTCAGGTGCCATAAAAAATGTGTATCCCCTGTTGAATAGTCATGTATTCAGTAAATAGGATGATCAAAAAAATTCATAGACAAAACAGGAGAAAAATTATTGCCTGACACATTATTCAAAACGACCGTCAATATCCGACCGATGTGTTTCTATCGGTTTTTGATCCATGAACTGTAATCTATTGAATTTATTTGTATTTTTTACTGCAGACAACACGTATGTTCCATTAACACTCTTTCACACTCTCGCCATACTCACAGTCACAGCATCAGTGGCGGATCCAGTAATTTCATAACGGGATGCGCAGTAGAAGGCGGGGGCTTACAATTAAGCGCATTAAAGTCAAGATTTTTGTACCATAGCTCATTGTGATGTAAACTGACCCATATTTTCTTTGCGATTTTGAATCATGCTGTATGTCATCGTCGGAAACCCACGGGTGATCTCGTCTTTACTTATCACCCGTTGGCAAGCTCGCCGAAAAATCGTCGTATGTAATTAAATATGCATGGGTCATTTGATTGGCCGCATTACAGAGTCGCGATGCATAACAACGAATCACACTTCACGTTACATATGCAAGTTCGGCATTGCCAAAAACATGAAAAACTCATTCCGTAGTTAACACAGCTGATAAATCCACTCATCGGTGCATTTTGCAGTTAGAATTAAAGAGGCACTCCTTCATAATATCTGACGGATATTAATGTCAGCGACCTTTATGAATTGATTTTCATTGTTTTAAATTAAACTTCGCACGTTTTAACGAGCGTCAAAATATTTACCATAAATAGCAAAGTAATAAACGTAATTTTCAAAATTGAAGAGTTCCAACTTTCTGATTGGTTGACTAAAAACAACAAATTAGCATATTTTACGGCGATATTTTGGCGAGTTTGCCCACGGGTGATAAGTAAAGACGAGATCACCCGTGGGTTTCCGACGATGGCTGTATGTGGACTTATCTAAATTATACTTCTCAAAAATTTCTTGATATTGTAGTACAATTTGTATCCTGTGCCGAGCCCCTATATGTATTCCCGTGTTGTACCCCTTTTGTGTATGTGTGCGTATGACGTCACGCGTTCATGTGTAGCAGTAGAAGAAGACGCCATTCCGTGTAAGAAACCACTGGTAACTTTTGTGAACTATTTCGACCTGCCGTGTGCGGTAACGGGCTGCTGTGTGCGCCTCACATATATAATAACTTGCTGCTGTGTGCGCTCGTTATCTCTGTATATTTGTGTATTTGTTAACTGCATTGTTTATGTAATAAATGTCATTACAACATTGGCGACGAGGATAAACGGCGCGAAACATCCGGCCATGTGCTTCTGAAAAATATCAAACTCAATTTTACTTTAGATAACGATTCAGAACCGATATATTTTAATTTGTACTAGTTAATTGGATAGGTTAATTCACACTTAGAGTTATTTTTGGGAGATAACGGTTAATTTACAAAATTTATTGTTCGTTCGAATTTCCTCAGAATGTAAGGGTAGCCAAGTTCTGCATAGGCTTACAGTTATACTTGTTATTTTAAGTAGGTA